AAAATTCAATTTCCGCCAAATATCATACACGCCAAATATAATACATTTACAGTAATTTAAGCATTTGTAAAGTCCGTGCGTGTTTATTAGTCATCTTTCATTTTATTGAAAGGTCAAAAGAAAGGTTAAACTTCCGTGTTCCTTAAGTAATACAAATTTATTTAAGTACGCATGAACCAAAATAAGAAAAAAATTGTAAAATTTGAAAGGCAATTAAAAAAAATATGGGAAGAAAACACGAGCGTGTATGCACCTTATAAATACACGAAGACAAATATATTTTTAACAGACGTGCATAACAACAACTGGGAAGCATTTGGAAGAAAAAAGGACTATAGTATAAAAATGTTAGATTTTTGTAAGATAGCTAGTCTTATCAAAGTACCGTATAAATATAACTAAATGAAATATACACTTTTACCTGAGTGTACCGTTCATTCTCTACTGACTGACAAATTGCAAATAATTTCTTCTATATATTATCCAGTGGCACGTAAAATAGCCCCAATAAACTGAAAAAAATTACGCATTTTTTTCACACATCTGATGAAGAAAATCTCTGCAAAATATTGTAGGGAAGAATTGCTAAATCTATTACCTACTTGGGCACTTCAGTGCGTGATCAAAGTTTAACATAGAAATACGTACTATTAGGAACAATTATAAATATCTTCTTAAATGTTGTTCTGTATTGAATATTATTATTTTTTTACTTTCTTTTTTTGGAATTATAATTGTCCTATTTGCATATTTCTATTTAAGTAAATGCAATGTAAAGGGATAAAATATTTTATTCAATAGTCCGCATAATATTTTCAACGAAAGGGTATCAACATTTAATATATCACCAATTCCTAACTTATTGTTCCTTGAATAGCTGGCCTTTGATAATATTATGGCAATGTAATCCAATGTGTGTGTATTACAATAATGAGTAAATCTTTTTGGGGAATTCAACTTTCTATCTTTATTCAAATATAGTATATGTCGATAGATAAATAAATTGATTTATTATTTAGGGATCGAGACGAGTTTATCAATCGTAGATACGAATTTTGGGTGTGAACGGGCGTCAACATGCAGCACGAGCTTTTGCCTCTAATGCCTAGGTCACATTTAAGCCGATGGTCGGGCGACTAAATTTTTCTGGTCTTGTCGGCTGAAAGAACAGAATCGGCCGACACAGTATCGGGCAACACGGAGCAGTCACATTTTTTCCTAAGGACACTGATGACTTGGATAAATAACACAAAAAATCTTTTTTCTTTAGAAATCAGCAATATTTTTTCATAGATCTATATTCAGATAGGTGACGTGAGTAATATTTGCAAGGCAGAGTGGCAGAATCTTATAAAATTGTGACTCAGTGTTAAAAATGTGTGTAAAATTTGTATGGAATTGCATAAAAACGACAAATGGTTTATATCTAAGCAGCAAAGAATACTTAAGATTTCTTTATTTTTTACGGATTAATTATTTATGTTATCTCCGATCAAAAAAATTATATCAATCCATGCATCAAAATTTTGTTTGTGTTTTGTATCCTTTAATAGGTTAAACATTCACAAGTCGGCCAATCGTCGCCCGATCATCGAGCTCTGAGCCACAGTTTGATTTTAACCGTCGGCCGAAATTTTCAACACCCTTCTTGTTCAACGACGGACGACCAACTTAATAAACTGACAGCCGATGGGCGGACGATGATCGAAGGTTGGTCAACGGATAACTGCACTTGAAGAAATCGGCCACCGACGCATGAAAAATTATAACTTGGACCGATGGACACAAAATTGGTCGGCCGACAAAAAAATAGGTCAAAATCGGCCAAGACAACGGCCGATAAACTGACGACTGTCACCCGAAGAATCCCATTTTTGCTTCAAAACCCATCGGCCGTTGATCGTTTTTTGAAATGTGACTGGGGTTTAACTGTGTATAACCTGTTAAATTGTATAACGGTCAATAACAGAGAAAGCATTGTCCATTTTAAAGCTGTACAACTTGCAAACTTCTGACAGATTTCTGTGGGTGCGGCCCCGACAGGGAGTACATATCCGCAGTGATATTTCTACAGATTTGGTCAGATTAGTTTTGACAGTGTGGTACATTGTAAGCGTAACTGATATGAGTCTTAATGAATAAGGTGCTCAATTCGACCGTAGTGTTTGTAGATGCGACATTGAATATAAAGAAAGGTAGATGTGAGGCAATCGGCAACAATGAGGAATTTCAAACGTGATTTATAAAAATAAAAACGCAAAAAATGAACAAGAAGAGTGTATTTCCCTTCTCGTTTGAATCAAATCACGTGTAGATTTTCTGTGAAATAAGTATATTTATGTGATTAAGAAATTTTGACATTTTACATTTTTAGAGAAATATTTATAAAAAATTTATAATGGGAAAATATGAACATTTAGCATTTGTTCTTTTCAGAAATAAATTAAAATTTATTTTGAGAACGTGCTGTATTTAAGATACATATGCAGAGAAGTTGATTGATACATGACAGTATAAAGGGCAAAAATAGCATAAAATAAAGCTACGCCAACTGAAGTTCCGTTTTTTTTTGCAAATACAGAACAGCAAACTCGAAAGAAAAACACCACCATCTTGTAAAAAAACTACATGTAGTCTCTGTCAGTATAATCCGTTTTTCATCTTCTTACAGTCCAGGGAAAAATCCAAATTTCTATTTAGTGTGATTGTGTGTGAAGGTGTGTGTATGAGAGAGGGTGATTCTTAGGGCGTGTGTGTGAGGATAAAAGGGTGAGGATGGGATAGTGTGTGTGTTGGGGGGGGGGGGTTATCCAAGAGTAGGTGGTGGATTTTCAATGAACATTTCCTATAGGAAACTGACGATTATTCAGTAAATTCAGTAACATTTTGACTAACAAAAGCTCTTTTTGTATATATTCACTGATGCGTCAAAGGTACATAGGGGAGTAGTTGCTTTTTCTCACAATTAGTGATTATGGCATGGAAATATTCCGTCCCTGTAAGCAAGCTTTGAAACAAGAGGCCCATGGGCCTTATAGGTCACCTGAGCATTATGCAACAACTTTCCAGTGATTGAATTTGATTCATGGTTTAAGCCAGATGCTATTGCATTCACAATTTTGAAAGAGGCACCATTGATCATCATAACAATGCACTTAGCAGTTGCTTAGTTTGTTTACTTAATACCCATACGCAGGGTAGGGGAACAAAAAATGCATTTCAACTAATCAGTAATATTCAGCAATAATCAGTAGTGCCCCTACCACACATGAACCCCTGACCCTTAGGCCTTGATATTTGATTAATACCAAGGAGCAGATTTCAAACCATTCATTCATTTTCAGTATATAAGCCCCCCCCCCCCATTCTAACTTACCCCTGACCCTGGGACCTTGAAATTCACAATTCTAAAAGATTAGGGCCCTTGTCCATCATAACTTTATAGGTAGTTCATCTGCTTAATACCCTGGAGCAGAGAAGAAAGTTTTCAAAGAATTAATGTATTTTCACTATATAATCAATAGAGCCCCGCCCTAACACCAGAACCCCTGACCCTGGGGCTATAAAATTCACAATTTTGGAAGAGGCATTCTTGCTCAATATAACTATGTACTTAGTTAATTTATTTAATTCTTAGGAGCAGAGAAGAAGATTTTCAAAGAGTTCATGAATTTTTTTTATTATATAATCAATAGAGTCCCACCCTAACACAAGAAGCCCTGAATCTGGGGCCATAAAATTCACTCTTTTGGTAGAGGCACTCTTGCTTATCATAACTATGTAATTAGTTAGTTTATTTAATACCCTGGAGCAGAGAAGAAGATTTTTTAAAGAATTCATGAATTTTCACTATATAATCAATACAGCCCCGCCCTAACATCAGAACCCCTGACCCTTAGGCCATAAAATTCACAATTTTGGTAGAGGCACTTTTGCTCAAAATAACTATGCACTTAGTTAGTTTATTTAATACCCAGGAGCAGAGAAGAAGATTTTCAAAGAATTCATGTATTTTTATTATATAATCTATAAAGCCCCGCCTTAAAACCAGAACCCCTGACCCTTGGGCCATAAAATTCATAATGTTGGTAGAAGCACTCTTGCTCATCATAACTATGTAATTAGTTAGTTTATTTGATACCCAGGAGCAGAGAGGAAGATTTTCACAGAAATAATGCATTTTCGCTACCTACTTATTTAGCCCCGCCCTAGCACTAGAACCCCTAACCCCAGGGCCATGAATTTCACAATTTTGGTAGAGAACTCATTGCTGATTACAATCATGCAAACAGTTTGACTGCTTGATGTCCAGGAGTAAAGAAGAAGATTTTTAAAGATTGCATTAATTTTAGTGGTTTTGGCCCCATCCCTCAGGCCCCAGGAGGGCAGGGATCATGAAATTCACAATTTTTGTTTCCATTCACCCATAGATGCTTTGAGCCAAATTTGCTTGAAATTGGTTCAGTGGTTGCAGAGAGGAAGCTGAAAATGTTCAAATGTTAGCGCACGACGCACGACGCACGACGACAGACAAAAACGGATACACTGTAGCAATAGGTCACCTGAGTTTACTCAGGTGACCTAAAAAGAACAAAGTATATGTGTAAACAAGTTTAATCTTGTTACAGAGCACAAAATGCAAAAATATCTGCACAAATCCAACATGCATACATAAAACATTCATACAAAATTAAATAATACTAGAAATAAACACACATAATAATGAACAAAAAAAGTTAAATTAGTTTTTATACACCGACTTAAATATGCCTAACCAGAGGAATGTTTCTTTGCGATTTGCAAATATCCGAAGATCTTTATATAAGGTTGCGCATGGTATTACCATATTTTTTGTACAGTCCTTAATGAGATCATGTAATTACCGTTTAAACACTGTTCACAGTAGCCGTTGATGTCTAAGTACGCAGAATTACCTGAAACGCTGCACCATTGTCTCAGTATCTAATAATGTAACACGTAAAATTTATATTTATATTACAGAATGTTCTGGGTTACCATACTCGGTAACAAACTCAATTATAAAAAATACCGGAATGTGTCGGGTGTATTATCTAGTACAAAAGAATTGACAAAGTAATCAAATAATAACTAAAAAAAAACGACTAAGAAACTTACATGTAGATTAAACAGTTCAAACTCACGCTGTCAAAGTACTCAAAAGTTCACACAGGAAAATTTTACAAACACACTCCAAAAATTCAGATGTTGTTCACGTGTAAGACATTTGTAATGCGACAACATAGGTCATACAATGTTTTACTCAGGAAGGACAGACCTTCTCACTTCTACGGCCTGCTCAGAGCTCACTTTCTATCATTCAAAAAAAAATGCGTGTCTTTGTAAAATTGAGTTTGCGAAAATTTATCACAATATTTCTTTGCAATTTGATTGGAGTATTTCTTTTGGATTGGATGCTTTATTTTAATGAAAAGAATGCTTCTTTGCATATGAACAGAGAATGTAACAATACTTTGACTGACCACGTGTTGTTACTTATAACAAATGCCATCCTCGTAAACAAATTTTCAATGGGGTTAAGCTACAGTAATGTTTCAAAATACAATTGCAAAATTTATGAAATACAACGATAAAGTATTCTTATCTACATCAAACCAAAGGGATTACTTAATTAGTTGAGGTATTTACTTTCTGATATTGATTATCCGAATCAGGGTCAAAAAAGTATACACGCTTATACGTGTAACCTGCTTCTTTTTTATAATATGCTTTATTTTTATAACATGCTTTATTTTCATAACATGCTTTATTTTCATTATCTGCTTTATTTTCATTATCTGCTTTATTTTCATACTCTTTCAAAGTAAAACAACATACCCATTGATCGAATTCATTCACAGGACTACTTATGCAGCCACAGCAACAAAGACATGCTTGTATGCACAACGAACTTGCATCTTCATTTTTTCCTGTTTCTCCTGTTGGGTTTGATTCTAGAGAATATTCGCCTTGATCTGAATTTTTATCATTTGCTGCTTTTTGATTTGAATTTTGATCATTGAAGGTGATATTTACTGTAATGCTTTGGTCTTTTCTTTCGAGACCTAAACATTCTTCTAAATCTAAATGTATTCTTTCCACTTTGTCAGTATTGCTTTCAAAGAACAGGACTTCAAAAAGACCTGGAGTAAGCATGAAAACAAGGCTTAGAAACACATTTATATTTAACGTTTTTTGGCTATTAAGATAATGAAGATCTTTCAATGTTAAATACATAACAACCAGTAGAGAAAGCGTCAGGAGTATTTTTGCTAAGAGAAGAAAAAGTGTTGTTGTAATAGGACAACAATTCTCCACAGCTGAATCAAACTCATCGGTCTTTATATTATTTATACCTCTTGACTGCATAATCTTTTGCAGCAGCAATCGATAAAATTGTAAGAAATCAAGAACAAACTTTCCTGAATACGTTATGCTTGCCATAATAATAAGGAAAATATCAAAATGTGACAGGTACAAGTGTGGTATTGCAACAAGAAAAAAATAAATGACTGATTGTACCAAATAACTCGTGCCTGCATAGATTGGACTTCCAAGGTACAAAAAGAGGGGGGAAAATGCTAAGGCAAGAAATAAGGCCAGCATTTGACCACGTGCTGTTTGAAGAGGTTTATAATTTTCAAAGCTTTTGTAAATCCCTCGGTGTACTATACTTATCAATGGAAATACTGAAAAAATAATCACCAAAACAAAATTAAGTATGAAATTGAAAAACGATATTAGCAATTTAAAAAAATACTTCATGCATTTAGGACAAATTGAACAATTAGAATAGTCATAATGAAACAATGGTATGAGATAAATCTGGCACCAGAACAGTGGATTCAGAATTAGGAAAAATCTTCTGACAGTTTGCATTAAAATTGGTCCAGATTCCCTTATGTCTTTAAAGAAACTTGACACAGGAATAAATCGCGATACCTTGGATGAAAAATCTAATAAAAGGAAATGATCTTCAGATTCTTCTGAGATGAACAGAAGATAACTATTGAATAAAACAAGAAAACATAAACCTATTAATCCACATAAAACCACTAAAGCAAAATGTCCTCCAAAAATGATAGTAGCAGGAGCATGAACCTCTCTGTATAACTGAGCGTTAGGAGGAAGGATGTTTCCTCCAATAGTATATCTAACTACGAAGACTGTTCCTGTAGCTATACCGATTAATAAAGAAAGACGGACACCACTTGCGTTGATTTCTGGATAACCAAGGTCACTATTGTCAAAAATTACATGAATCAAGAAACGGCGGATTGTGTAGGGATAATCGGCAATGGTGTACTCTAACACTTGATTCCCTTTATTTCCCTCGTGCAAAAAATGCGACAAAAACAATGGGTAATAGAAAAACACAACCAGTATTATTGCAATTGTAATGTAGTTGATGTAAGATTTTTCCACAACAACAAGAGATGAGGTTTCATTTTTCTGGAAGCAGTGAAATCCGTAGCCAATAGATACATAAGATATGTAAGTCAGACCCGATATATAATTTTGATTTTCGAAATTCCTATGACAGAAATACACTCCGGATGTGTTATGATATTCTTTAAACAAATATTTGTAAATCTGCTTCCATAATGTTTTTCCCACACAGTCTGATACATTCGAAATGTTGACATTTACTTGCAAATAATTAACATGTTTCTTCAAAACTCCAAGTGTAAAGAAATCAACATCAACAGGGTAAGTTAGGAAGTGTTTATATTCTTTGGTAACCCATATCCATTCAACAACCTTACTCCATTCCTTTTGATTCAGAGTGAGGTTTTCAAATGATGAGGAGCTGACATTCACGTAAATGAATTTAAATTCTTTTGAGATAAGGTCGTTGAATATTTTTTGATTTTTCTCAACATTGTCATCAGATATATTGCATGCAATCACCCCCAACTGCTCTGTTCTCCAAATTAGAGCAAAAATTGTAATTACAAGCCAAGACATCTCAGGAAACATTTTCCACCTGAAATAAAGATGTGTAATTGGCTATTAGAACTTTTGATCATTATAATACATGTAAAAACTTCAAATCTAAATATTTAATGTAAGTAGAATTTCAAGAAACTGTTAAATATCTTCACAATGTTTTGCACCTAAAAGAGAGATTTAACCAAATGAGTCACGAGTCATTCTTCCACCACACTTTATTTCATATGTGCCTATAGATTTTTTTCCAAGTTGAGAAGTTAACCATTTAATGATGTTTTATGCCTAATGCTGTTAACTGTACCTATAGGAAAATAAGTTAAACATTGACATAATATTTAGGTTTCCACAAAAAAAAAATAAATAAAATGTTCTTTGAGATTAAAATTAAGAAAATCATTTATGAACAAGTTTTTACAAAAATTAATTAATAAGCCAAGAAGTAAATATATACACATATAGATTTATTTTTGCCATTTATCCTATTTTTTGTAGAAGACCTATGCATTTACATGCTTACAATCGATTATCATAGTTAAGTTTAGTTTACAATAATGGTTAACTATGATCGTAAATTATAGTTTTCATTATCAATAATCAAAATAATTTTACTATGAATCCCAGGTATGATTATTTTTTTCCCAAAAAGTAAATTAAAAAGAACCTTTTCTTATATATTAAGATTTTTTTTCAAGGAGTTTTATAATTGGTAACGTAAGACAAATTAAGGCTCTGAATCTTCAAAAACGTTCAAAAGTAAAGTTTCATAGTAAATCAACGTTTCAAAGTATTAACTATAGTTAATCGTAGCAAACTATAGTTAGGTATATATAGTAATTTCAGGGGTCAGTTCTCTTTGTTTTCAAAAGTAAGTGATGTTTTGTGAAAATTCATCTAATATCTATTTATATGTACATATGATTTCCTTAAAGAATTTTTACTCTTGATAATTGACTTTGGTTAGCTGCAAATTAAAACAATATTATCCTTTGCAGTTCTTTGAGTTAACGTCATGCAGTTATAGTCTATATAATAACCTTTGAATAATTGAAATATTCACTAACCAGGTTGACCATCACATTACCGAACGCCATGGAATAGCTTAGATCAACATTATGGTAACTTGTTCCCTTTGTTCAGCTAAAAAACGCAAATGGATTTTTAGGGTGTTGGGATCATGACCCCAGGGCTAGGGTTTTGCAAGAGCAAAAAATCAAAAGAATTTTTTTTTAAAATAATTTTCTCAAGAAGATTAACGTTCATTGATATACATGCATCTCAAGGCAGTGCAGATGCATGTTTGTTCAAATGTAAGTCCCATTGAATAGTGCAAAAAAAAGGGGGGGGTAAAGATTTTTAAAAGAATGTAAAGGGGAAGAAACTAGAGCAGCGGGCCCACACTAAATTAAAATTGTTTTAAAATTATGTATTTTTAGTGCAAGCATATTTAAAAAAGTTTTTTTAAGCTGATTTGTAAAGGTGGTCTGTTTCGTTTTCAATTTCATATTGTAGGCATTCTAATCAACACATGTGTAGTGAATTGTAGAACATCCAAAACATTGAAGAGATACTAATCAACCTGCATTGTTCCTTGTATTAAACGATCCTTTTTTTCTTTCACGAGCATTACTATTTTTTGCAAACCATGCTGATGTTGATGAAAGTAACCTAGTAGGTTTCTCATGAGGAAATTACTAGATTTGTACAGATAATTTCAATCATCAATTAGATGAAAACAGTTGCTAAATGATGCGTTTAAAGAACAATAAATGCTAAACGACTGTGAAAACTACTATCGATATAAACTGTACGGTAACAATTTCATTGTGTCATTAAATAGCACATTGACCTTTTCTGGTTGATTCTGAAGTATTATTATTTATTGTGTAGCTTAAACTTAAAAGTTCACTACACAACAAAAACTTGGGTTATATACATGTAATGACCGTATTCTAGCTTGCGAATAATACCCCGCCCTTGATAAATCGTAAACCTCATTTAATTTTTTTTTTGTTTGTTGGCAATACACGATCAGCGATTGATACAATGCAGTCCCACACTACTATAATTCAAATTGTATAAAATACACCCCCCCCCAAAAAAAATATAACTCTAACTGTCAGACTCGAGCCTCGTTTAACATTAAAGAATTCAGTAAAATAAACCATTGGAAGGGGAAGAGGACCTTAAGCTGAAACAATTACTTGTCGTTATAAGTTTTTTTTTCATATTTTGTATATTTCTAATTATGCCCCCATAAACTCAGTTTCGGGGGTATATACAGTTATATAGTTTTGTCGTGTCCGTCCGTCTGTCTAGCTGTTTGTCTCTCTGTCTGCCTTTTTGTCTTTTCCACAAAAAACTTTAACCTTGCTCATAACTTTTGATTTAGTGGAGCTATGACTTTCATATTTCGAATGTGTATTCCTTGTGACAAGTCCTTTCTACGGGTAACACCAATTTTGACATTTTAACGTTGGAGTTTGATCCACATTTGCACATAAATTTAAAACTTTTAGTTTGGTCATATCTTTTAAACAGTAGATACCAGGACATTTAAACTTCACATATGTAGTATTTTTGGAGAGACCTTTCATTGGATACCAACGGTCTTGACCTTTTGACCTTGACCTCAGAATAGTTTTTCCAGTGAGTTTGCATTTAATAAAAAGTTTAATTTTCGCTATGTTGCCATGCCTGGGCATCAGACACTACTGAATTAAATATCCCCTTAGATTCCAAAAAATCCCCTGTTGTCCCCCTGTCAGTCCCTGACATTTTCCTGTCTCTCCCTGACTTTCTCCTATGATCCCCTGTCGTTGTCCCTGCTCTCCCTGTCCAGTCCCTGTCGTCCCCTGTCGTTGTCCCTGCCTTCCCTGTCTACTCTCTGTCGTCCCCTGACATTCTCTGATGTCCCTGTCCAGTCCATGTCGTCCCCTGTCGTTGTCCCTGCCTTCCCTGTCTATACTCCCTGTCGTCCCCTGACATTTATTTTGGCCAAGAAAAGGAGTTTAAAAAATATTTTTGTTGCATTTAAGAGTGAAAAATGATATAGTCTTGAAAACTTAAAATATTTTTTTTGAAAATATAGACTTAGTAAAAAGTTAACACTTTTTTAAATGCCTTAACTAAATCCCTTGTAATTTAGTTTTTATTACTTGTATCAACGTGATTTTTTTTAGTTTGGTAGCATTTCGTGGGGAGAACGGCAGAGAATTGCATCATTCTATAGAAGAAATAAATTACCAATTCATTTCATCTTTTGGGAATACATTATCAAATACATGCATGGGATATTTTGTTTTCCCTAAGAATTAAATGAATAAAAAATTAAATGTAAAAACGATATATAAATGCATTGATAAAATAAATGTCTAAGTAATAAATAAAAATTATTAAAAAAAAACTAAGAATCTATTTTATTCACTTATTTTCTTATGTGAATAAATCTACAAATCGACTGAATTAAGAATGAATGAATAATAGATAAATAAATAAATAATGAGAATTATATAAAGTTACTCATTTATTTGTTTATTTTTTAATTTATCACTCATTTATATCCCCAAAATTTGTTTTATTAATTTTATTATATTTATTTGCTGAAATGTGCTACAAAGTATTTTATTAGCATATTTAAACGAATTTTTATCACTTTAGGTCCATGATGGATATCAAAAAAATCGTCTCATTATGCACAATATTAATCTGTCAATTACATTTTTGATACATTAATTTGATTAAAAAATCGGTTTTCAAAACCCAAACACGATTCTGAAACAACATCAAAGCCATTGATGTTTACCAGTAATTAACTCGAGGTACACGGTCATGACATCTATTATCTTTTTCACTGACCGCTATACCTTGTTTATGTTGTGGCAGGACGACCGTGTGTAGTTTGCAGCTGTTTGAAATAACATTTTCTCTTTGTATGAGAACTGATTTTTTCAATCAAAACAAATAAAATTATCAAAGAAACTATCAACGGGTAAAGATTGTGTATGATGAGAGGATTATTTTTATATCCATCATGGAAGTAAAATAATTAAAAGCAGTTTTAATATGTTTCAAAAATACTTTGATAAATATTCATCGTAAATCAATTTACATAGAATATGCCCAAAAAAATCCCATTTTCGGGTATATGATTATTTAGTTGGCTTGTATTGTCAATTTCCAAAATAAATACATTGTTTTTATAATGATTAAATACATGCAGTTAATAAGTTTATTTTTTTTTTATTTACTACCTGTTTAAAATCAAGTGTATTGATTTTAAAAATTAAAATATTCCAAAATGCGCCAGTACCCCTGCTGTCTTTTCTTCTTTTTTTTCTTACAAAGGTAGAAAGTCACTCCATTATTAAATGAATAAAACATGAATAAAATAAAAGTAAAGAAGCATATTAAAACTGCTTTTAATTATTTTACTTCCATGATGGATATCAAAATAATCGGCTATCATGCACAATCTTTACCCCCTCAATAGCTTTTTTCATACTTTTATTCCGTTGTGATTGAAAAAAAAAATTAAGTTCTCAAACAAAGAGTTAATGTTATTTCAAACAGTTGCTAACTGTACACGGTCACTCTGAACACCACATAAACAAGGTAGAGCGGTCAGCGAGAAAGACAATAGCTGTCATGACTGTGTACCACAAGTTTATTACTGGTAAACATCAATGGCTTTGATGTTCTTTCAGAATGGTGTTAGGGTTTTGAATATCGATTTTTAATCAAAACAAAGTATCAAAAATCTAATTGACAGATTAATATTGTGCATTATGAGACGATTATTTTGATATCCATCATGGAAGTAAAATAATTAAAAGCAGTTTTGATATGCTAATAAAATACTTTGTAGCACATCTACGCATGCAGGTGTTTATATAAAATAAAACTAAAGAAACACAATTTCTTGCAGATATAAATAATTCATTAATTTGTTGTATTTTCAATTTCAGAAATAAATAGATTGATATTTTATTAATTATTTTTTTTTTTATTATTCATTAATTTTATTTTATTTATTTA